AGGAGGAGAAAAGGGGTTGGGGGAGGAAGGAAGGGAGGGGAATGGAGAGGGAGGAAGATTGGGAATTGGGAAGTGGGGAATGAGTAGCCGGGAGAGAGGAAGATAGGGATTGGGGAAGTGGGAGAGGAGAAAGTGGGGAATGGGGAGGCGGGAGAGAGGAAGGATAAGGATAGAAGAGATTGAGGGAAGAGGTATAGGTAAGGATATTCAAAGGAAAGAGAGAGAGGGAAAGAGGGAGGGAAAATATAGTATAAAGAAAGAGAGGGGGGGAAAAGTGTGAAATAAAGAGGGGCAGAGGAGGAATAATTAATTAGGAGGGGGGGGGAGTGGGGTTGGGAAGGAGGGAGAAGGGAGAAAGGGGGTTAGGGGGAGGGGGAACGGAGCCCAGCGTGACAGCCACTCCCGCGTTGAAGCTCAGCGTGAAGCGTGAAGAAATTAGGGGAGTTAGGGAGTGGGGGGGGGGGGCGCTTGGTGGCTGGGATTTTAGTGTCATTCCTTTGGTCTCTCGGGGTGGGGTGGGGGGAGGTGGGGTGGTGGGGGAGGTGTGGGTCGGTCGGGGTGGGGGAGGTGGGTGGGGGAGGTGTGGGTCGGGGGGGGGGGGGAGGTGTGGGTCGGGGTGGGGGAGGTGGGGTCGGGGTGGGGAGGTGTGGGTCAGGGTGGGGGAGGTGTGGGTGGGTGGGGAGGTGGGCGGTCGGGGTGGGGGAGGTGTGGGTCGGGTGGGGAGGTGTGGGTCGGGTGGGGGAGGTGTGGGGTCGGGGGTGGGGGAGGTGTGGGTCGGGGGTGGGGAGGTGTGGGTCGGGGTGGGGGAGGTGTGGGTCGGGGTGGGGGAGGTTGGGTCGGGTGGGGAAGGTGTGGGGTCGGGGTGGGGGGTGTGGGTCAGGGTGGGGGAGGTGGGTCGGTCGGGGTGGGGGAGGTGTGGTCGGGGTGGGGGAGGTGTGGGTCGGGGTGGGGGAGGGTGGGGGAGGTGTGGGTCGGGGTGGGGGAGGTTTGGGTCGGGGTGGGGGAGGGGTCGGGGTGGGGGAGGTGTGGGTCGGGGTGGGGGAGGTTGTGGGTCGGGGTGGGGGAGGTGTGGGTCGGGGTGGGGAGGTGTGGGTCGGGTGGGGAGGTGTGGGTCGGGGTGGGGGAGGTGTGGGTCGGGTGGGGGAGGTGTGGGGTCGGGGTGGGGGAGGTGTGGGTCGGGGTGGGGGAGGTGTGGTCGGGGTGGGGGAGGTGTGGGTCGGGGTGGGGGAGGTCGGGGTGGGGGAGTGTGGGTCGGGGGTGGGGAGGTGTGGGTCGGGGTGGGGGAGGTGTGGGTCGGGGTGGGGGAGGTGTGGGGTGTGGGGGAGTGTGGGTCGGGGGGATAGGGGTGGGGGTTTACTTCGTCGTGTGGCTTTGATTAAAAGAAGGAAAAATATCAGTATGTCTTTGTATGTTTTATCCTTCCTCCTCCTTATCTTTATCTTTATTTTTATCATCTTCATCTTCTTCATATCTTTGTATGTTTTATTCTTCCTCCTCCTTCTCCTTATCTTTATTTTTATCATCTTCATCATCTTCATCTTCACCTGCCTGCATGATAATGATGATGAATGAGTGAGTGATTGTGATGAGTGAGTGAGGGAGTAAGTGAGCGAGTGAGCCAGTGAGTGTGTGTGTGTGTGTGTGTGTGTGTGTGTGTGTGTGTGTGTGTGTATGTATGTATGTGTGAGTGAGAGTGAGTATGAGTGTGTGGGTGAATGAGTATGAGTTCCTCCGTTCTTTACAGTGTGTGTTTCCCTCTTTTATTTCATTTCTTCTCCTCATCCACTTTCTTCTCCTCCTTCTCCTTTCTTGTTCTTCTATACTTTCTTCTCCTTCTCCCATTTTTTTTCCGTTTCGCTTTCTATCTCTGATGTATTTTATTCAGGCGTCAATAGTTGTTATTTTTCTTCTTATTCTTTTTTATTCTCTCTCTTTCTGTCTGTCTGTCTGTCTCTCTCTCTCTCTCTCTCTCTCTCTCTCTCTCTCTCTCTCTCTCCTCTCTCTCTTCTCTCTCTCTCTCCTCTCTCTCTCCCCCCTCCCCCTCCCTCCCTCCTCCCTCCCTCCCTCCCTCCCTCCCTCCCTCCTCCCTCCCTCCTCCTCTTCCTCTTCCTCTCCCTTTCTTTTACACTTTTACTCCCCTGCCCCTTCCCTTGTCCCCGGTCCTCTCTCTCTCTCTCTCTCCGTCTGTTTTACCTTCTCTTCTCGGTTTCTCGCTTTCTCCTCTCTCTCTCTCTCTTTGTGACGTTATATATCATATGTAAATAAGCCAGACACAACAGGGTGGGTGACAGTGGTCTGTGGTCGACTCAAAGACACGTAAATTGGAGCGTTTGGAAACTTAGACCAATTTCCTGCCCGCAATTATAGTAATATTGAAATTCAATCTTTCTTTTTTCTTTTTTTTGTGTATTTTTTTTACGGTTGGTAGTTTGTATGTATATCGCTGTATTTGTTCACTGTGCATTGTGTTATGCTGTTTATTTACATGTTTGTTTATTTA